TATGTTAAGGCTGTTTTTATGGGTTCCGTTCGTTTTTCCTACAAACCTGTCGGATAGCAAGGTTTAGGATTGTTAAGGGTCAGATTATTGAGTCACAACTGTATTTACCAAGTTTAACTTTGCCATGTGTCCTTATTTAAAGTATCACAGACTATCAAAGGGGTAACCAAAACTATAAGACTAATAGAGTCCATCCTTGGTAAGCTGACAGGTAACTACTGCAAGAGAAAGCATTAATAAACAAGCTAATAATCTAGATCTTACTCCACCTGCACGGTCAAAGGTCTTGTCACATTTGGGACACTTGAGAGTCTTCTTGCTGGAGGTTTGGATGATGACCGGAGCCAGACCTTCTGGGTAAACTGGACTCTGGTTGGAGCTTCCTGCTGCTGCTGCTGCTGTCGTGTGAACTTCCACCTCTCGAACAGATGGCTGTTCTGTCCTTTCTGCCTCTGAACTCTGCTGACCTGCACTCCTGTCTGCCCCACAAACCTCGGTAACTTTCTTCTGGGCAACGACGTCCACGTTCATGTCTCCTTCCTCTTCCTCCTCCTCTTCATCATCCATGACATCGTCCCCCTGAGCTGGTTTAGACGTGTCATCCAGTGTGGTCGTTGGGGTTTTCACAACCACCTCTGCTGCTGCTGCTGCCTCTACTCTGCCTTCATCCTTCTGCCTTGATGATACGGTTCTGTGTTTTTCCTCATGAGTGGTGACAGAGCACTCCACATCATCCCTCTTGTACTTGGTCGGCGTTCTCTTCCGACGAGCTGATCTCCGTGTGGTAGCGCTCCTCTGACCGGTCGTCTTCACTTCTTCAGTTGAGGCTTCCTGCTGAACGTCGGTGTGACCCTCAGCTGAGGCGTCCTGCAGGGAGTTTCCAAATCGACGACTGAACGGGGTGGACATAACGTCAGTCGGGCTCCGGATGTCTGCGTCAGGTCCCGATGAGTCACTGGAGGTAACTTCCACCTTAGGAGAGCCTCTTGTCTCAGCCTGGATTACACGTACAGGGTTGTGCTCTCCTTCTTCACATAGCAGCTTTAATATATCCATCATGTCCAGGAATCGGGCCGCTTCAGTCAGCGCCGGGAGCTCCGTCTCTGCAACAACGCACTCGGCCGTGTACAAAAAGCCAAGCAGGTGCTGGAAAACAGAGTCCTCCACGTGGTCCAGAGTCACGTGTGTTGTTGCGGCTGGGTTCTTGGACAGCTCCGCATGGAAATAGCTGCTGCCGTGGGCCAACACCACCTTGTGGGCGCTGTAGGTCTTCCCACCTACAGACACTGACACATCGCAGAACTTCTGCCGAGTCCGGTCCTCGTTCAGGAACTTGAGGAGGTTGTGGCTGTGCAGCGACATCGCCAGGTGTCTGATTTGTGAGGCTGATTCTTGGACAGTTTCAGAACTTGCTGGAGAACTGGAGCCCAGTGCGGCGGATGGGTCGGCAGCACAGTCGTTGGTGGCACCGACCTGCCTGCCACGTTTGGGACGCAGCATCGTACTGAGCTTCTTCTTCATCGCTGTGCCTGATGGAATACACAGAGTGAATACTGAACTGAAGCTTGACTTTGAGATACTATCACAAATCAAAATGCAGCATCTGTCAGAAAAACTGTAGTTATGTAGACATTTTACTGGGATTTGATCAGTGTTGGAAGAGTTACAGAAGAAATGCTTGTAAATATAATTTGAAATGTATTGTTAGCACTGTCTAACATTATTATAGCATGTAACACTGAATGGACCCTGCAGCCTGTTCCGAAATGTTTGCCAAGAAAATTGAGGATTTAAGTTCAACACCTGACTATATTTAACCGAACAATGAACCGGTACATGAAGGTCAGGTCAAGTTCACACAATCAGGCTAACTCAAGAAGTCCTGATAACTGCATGCTATTCTTAAGCTGATTTTCTGTAAACTTCCATTATTGACTGATACTGTGTAATAAAGTCAGACAATATGGTATCACACCAGAGATTCAGTGGTCAAGTCTTAGGTTCCCTGCCAGGTCAGTGTTCCAGGAAGTCCGTCTGTTATCTATACTTGGGTCGCAGAGGGCTGGAGTCTATCCCAGCTGATTCAGGGAAAAATGCAAACCACTGCATCATCATGCCGTCCTACAGGAACTCTGGTTAAGAAAAACTCAGGCTTACCCTGACAGTTAGCCTGCCCTGAACCAGTTTGGTTTGCCAGCAAAAGTTGCCAAAGCAACTAAGCCTGAATTACATTGAGCTACCTAAAGTAAGCCTGGCTTTTGCCAGTAAACTTGCTTTATGGAACCGGCCCCCAGGAGTCACTCTGGTGCAGGTTTTATGTTTGAAATAAGATCCATCCATCCATTATCTATACACTGCTTAATCCTCTGATGATGATCTTAAAATGAGTACAACTATAAAAGAAAAAAAGACAGTAAAGGTCTTCTGAGGGTTTCTTAAGAGTTCTTTATGCATAAGATTTGACGGAATACGATATCAGATGTGTGGACATGTAGCAGGTAGGTGTTAAGCTTCATCCGACTTGTTTTAAGACTTTATTTTGAGGTTTTAGGTTTCTTTTCATTTTTTGTGATTTATTTTTTTAATCAATACCTAACACAAACTATTTTCATTTCCATTTTTCTTTCTTTTTTTTTTTTTTACTTTGGCACCCTGCAATAAATCTTCTTGCAATAAAAATGGCTACAGAAAAAGCACTTGAACGCACCGTTTTCCGATAGCACGAAACAGGCAAAATGTTAATTACAACAAATGCCGCACAGAGCGGGGTAAGCTAGCTTGAAAACGGAAAGGCTGTTGCTGTATAAGAGAAATAATTTGTCCAGAAACAACGTGCAAATCATGCAAACCGGTGGTAGGGGTTTGTTAGCTAAACTTGCTTCACTAACTAGCAACATGCGCACAATGCTAACAAGCTAGCAATTTGGCTAACTTGTTATTTGCTCAACAAGGTATTTAAACTTCAACTAAACTACAACTACTTTTAATGTTTCAGAGTGATATATATATATATATTGCTGATTTAAAAGCATATCCCCTTTACCTATCATCTTGCAATTAAAAATGGCTCCGGAAAAAGCCCTTGAACGCAACGTTTTCCAATAGTGCGAAACAGGCTAAATGTAAATTACAATAAATGCCACACAGAGCGGGGTAAGCTAGCTTGAAAAGTCTGTTGCTGTATAAGAGTTTTGACACATTTGGTTAAGTATGGACTCTTGGATTGAAACAATTTGTCCATAAATAGAAGTGCAAATCGTGTAAACCGGTGGTAGGTGTTTGTTTGCTAAACTTGTTTCGCAAACTAGCAACATGCTAACAAGCTAACAATTTGGCTAACTTGTTATTTTAAGCTATCTAAACTACAACTCTTTTAATATATCAGAGTGATAAATATATATTGCTGATTTAAAAGCATAGGCCCTTTGAGATTACCACCCATTTAAATTGTAACTGTAACTCGACAGCTACTCAAACGTTGTAGTCCGATTACATGCACCGTTACATGTATTCCGTTACTCCCAAACACTGGCTGTGATTCACATTTTACAGGATCGTGAGGCGTAAACGTGTAAATGACCGTAGCAGCTGTATACAGTGGCATTAGCAACACGAGGCTGTCATTAGGTGCTGAAAAGTTGTCATAAATTAAATAACTGCGCGTTAAAATGTGGCACGACAGCGACGTTTTTGCGACCGCTGAAGGTTTTTTCTCTCTTTTTTTTCCCACCGACACACGACTGTTGTTGTAAACACTCCGCTCGACACACACACACACACACACAACAGAGGCCCGACGGAGGTGTGGAACCGGATCGTAAAGCAAACAGTCAAAAACAGCTGCATTTGCAAATTCGCTCCCACCTCAAGGACCCCCACCATTATGCTGCGCTGTGACGGCCGGCCCCCCTCCGAGGAGAGTGTTGACAAACGACCTTTAGCGTAACCCGGGAAACGGACGTTCACGTCGACACGTATTCGTCATGAATCTTACCTCGAGGTGGACCGGAGGCGTTTATAGAGGAGGACGCATCGCTGAGGATGTGAGAAATGTGAGGAATAAACGCAGGATTAATAATTTCCTGAATATCTGTAACAGCCTAACAGAAATGTCTGACACCGAAACAAGCCGCTCGCTGATTGGCTGCTGCGGCTTTTTGTCTCCGCAGCGCCGCAGAGCCGAAGCGCGTCACCTCCGCTCCCTCCGGCGGAGCATTGTTCAGCACAAACATCACATTTACTGGACTTCACAGCCCTAAACAATACAGAAAAAATTGACTAGACATTTTATTTATAGCTGATTATTTTTTGATGGAGGTTTTTTTGCTCAAATTATACGTTTGACAAAGCTGGTGTTGATTATTGTACAATTACATATTAATCAAGTCAAACTTTCATGAGACTAGTCAAGTCATATTATTTTTTAAATCATTTTTTGTGCCAAAACGCTTTCCAGTAGAGTAATAATACTGGCATTAATGAGTTTTCCTAAAAGTTTAGATATATTATTTGCACAATTCACGTCTATATTTGCATTTGCACTGTTTATTATTATTATTTGTATTGTTAGTATATCTTTATTCTTTATTTTCTACATCTTTCATGGATATAAATGTATATCTTTTCTATATATCCACATTTTTATATTCTATGCTTGCTCTATTCTTTTGTATTTGTGTATTTTTATACTTGTGTTTACACTATTTCTTGTATGTACATTTTACTTTCTAGTATGTGTGTGTCTCTGTGTGTACTGCTGCTGACAACAATGTGAGTTTCTCCACTGTGACATAAAGGTATATCTTATCTTATCTTGTCTTAAATTAAAAAGTAAAAGCCTCTCTTTGACTCCCTACTTTTATTTGTGTTTATTCCAACATGCTTTTTTTGTTTGTTTGTTTTACTGAAATTGTTGCAGATCATCGATAACCATGAGCCACGTGTTAATAAATCTGTTATCTCCTTCTATGACGTATGCAGACCTTCAGCCTTTGACTTTTAAGGTACAAATATAACTCAGATGTCAGTTTGTAAAGCACGTTTCCCCACATTTCCCTTTGTGGCAGTTTAATATATCAAATAGTTTTCAGTTTTAACCATGCAGTGTTATTTATCATAGGAATTAACTCATTTAAACATTATGGTGCCAACCTTAAAGTGTCATATTAAGTGTACATTTACCAGAAGATATGAAATATTAAGGTTAAGACCCTGTGATATTATATATATTAATTACTTATTAATTTGTATTGTGTGCAAAGCTATCGTTGCACACACACACACACACACACACACACACACACACTTGTGCTCTATATGCTTTCATATCATTTAAATTTTATCTTATTTCTTGACACATGGAACCAAAATTCTCTACATTGAAAACCTGAGCCGCACCAACCGCTAACTTAAGTAGCGCTAAAAGTTCAACATCCGTATTAAGAGTGAACAAGTACGACTGAATCACTTGTGATGACGTCAACTGCTTTTTAACGGTGGAGATGCTTCCTAGATTAGAATCACTGTCCTCACTTCACTTCTTTCAAAGAATGGGCCTCGGTCCAGCCAGCTTAGGTCAAATAGTTCTCCACCGAGAAGAAGACAATCCGTAGTTCATACTCGTGTACAGAGATGTGTCCTCGATTAGAACCCTGTCCTCAGTTTACTTCAGTAAAAGGACTGGGCCTCGGTCCAGCCCGATCCGGTCAGGTCACAACCTGTACACATGTAAACATCCACATGCTTTTGTTTACACGAGTCAGGGTGTGCATGCTGTTGTTAAACTGTAGGAACAGTTCCTTCTGAAGGAAAGTAAAGTCCACCTGAACCTTCGCTCCACCATTCGTGCCAAAACTCTCACATCCCGGTGCTATCACTTACATAAGAGAACATGTCGAGGAAACATGTCTGAAGTTGCTGAAATTAGCCTGCTGGATGCACCCCTCCCTTCCCCAACACGTTTAATGTGTAAGACATTGTAAGTGCATTAGCCTAATCCCTCCTATCTGGCATGCAGCGATCTAAGCATTTCAGTGAGGCGCTGAGCAGCACAGGTGAAGATGGAGCTGCGAGTACTCTCCGCCCGTCTCTGACTTAAAATGCAGATTTTGCTGAATATCTAAGAATTCTGAGGACTTGTAAAGGACAATGTTGAGATTCAGCGCGCATGCGTGGCTGCTATTGTTGCTTTATGCAGGTAATCTTGGAATGTGTGTTGTAATCAGACATTAGATCCTAACCAGTGTGGTTGCACCAGTAGGGTTAGTGTGTTTCTCTCTGACTGACAGCTCACATGGTCATTGTTATATTTAGAAATACTGGTGGAGGGAATCAACAAGTGTGTACTAAAAGAACAAGCATAAGTTTGTACAGCTGCTTTATTTATTTTGAGTGTCTAGATGTTTGGTTTGCTTCTACATATATGCATGCATAAAGAGTTCTAATGAGCTGTAATCGTCTGCAGGCCTTTCGTTTGGTGAAGACATCGATGGATGTGACCAGCAGCCATGCCAAAATGGTGGCGTGTGTGAGAGCCACAGTGGAGGATTCAGATGCCTTTGCTCCCAGCAGAGCCAAAATGGGCGCCTATACGGCGGCGAGAACTGCACAGTTGCACTTTCAGGCTGCGATGACGACCAGTGTGAGAACGGAGGAATATGCTCTCCCTTGCTCGTCAATGACCATCACACCTACACGTGCATCTGCCTCGCAGGCTTCACCGGCTCCAAATGCCAAACTCCCACCATCTTCTCATTTGAGTCCCCAGGCTACATGTACGTAGAGACCCAGCTGCTGGACCCAGAAGCTCCTCTTAACGTCACATTCAGCTTCAAGACAGACAGAGCGACCGGCACCCTGCTGCAGCGTCGAGTGGACGACCTGCTCCTCAGCATCGAGCTGATGGATGGCCACCTCTGCCTCCGGAGCCTCAGAGGTCAAGGCTCCAGCACCATGGTTCAAGAGCTGCCCGAGTATCTGTCCAACAACAAGTGGCACACGGTTGAAGCGTCTCTGGGCGGCGTGGTCAGTCTCATCAGGCTGCTCTGCACCGAAGGAAGCTGCACCAGAGACTCCAGCACTGAAGTCCAGCTGCTTGAACAGGCCTCGGGTCTGCCCGAGCCGGGAGCTGTTCGTCAGAGCCTCTTCATCGGAGCAGTCGGGGGGAACTGGACTTTGGGCAGGGCGGCGAATGAAGCGGATCCCCCGCCTGCTTTTCTGGGCTGCTTCAGAGATGTGTTCGTGGACTCGCATCTGGTGCTGCCTGTTAAAGCACCAGGAGGTTCGGGCGTCCAGGCGAACATCGCCGTGGGGTGCAGCGACAAAGACAAATGCGACGAGAGTCCGTGTCACAACCGAGGGCGCTGTGTGAGCCAGGGCTGGAGGAGGCACATGTGTGAATGCCACAGGCCGTATGAGGGAAACAACTGTGCCGAGGGTGAGACGTAAACTCACAGTAACACCATTAGATTACATATGTTCAAATGAACTGGTTCAGTTCTCAGTTTTTCTTCTTATATCCTCCAACCTTACCTGAGAAAATGCCCTGACCCCACAAACCTTTGAATAAGAGTCATATTAAATACTGTGTACCACATATATCATATTAAAAATATATAGAGAAATAAAAATATATGATAGATAAAGATACGATCAAATTTTCTAAATTGTGAAGGAAAATATTTTGTCATATTTTGCTCTGATAACAAATTATGTAACATTAAGAAATGCAATGCTAGTAGAAAAGCAATAAGATATGAATAAAAAAGCTAAAATACGGCTATAATAGAAAAGTAAGAAGTAATACTGACAATAACACTGAGCTGGTAAAGTAATATAAACATGATGATGATACATTTCACATAAAATTGAAATATTGCACTTAAAATGTTTTTTTGCACCTCTGTTTGGTTAGATTTGAGCAAAAAAATAAAATAATTTGGTCCGATTAGAGGAAAAATAATGGTTTAGGTTCAAATAGAAGACTTTGGTTGCATGTTTGCAACAACAAAAATGCATTTAGGGTTTGTGTGTTTTGTGGACTTGTCCATCAACCCTGACCTCCTCCCTGAACACTCCTCATAACTCTTTAACTGCACTGACTTGTTTGTTCATAATTACATCAGCTGCTGGTCTTAATGAATCATAACTACGAGGTTGTTTTTAGGAAAGAAAGTAATAATAAGTCGTAGTAGTGACAGCAGAAGCCTTTTTTTTTTTTTGCTCAATTAACTTATAAAATAGTGACATTATGATGCTTAAGAAGAAATTGAAGGCGATGCAAAATGTCGATGTGTCAGGCGCTTTAAATACCGCGTGTGTTTGTGTGATCTCAGCGTGTTCACCTTGACAAATGACACATCCGCTGGCAGAATTACCTTAAAGACGCGCGATTTAGATGGGATCAGGTCGAGTCAAGTTCAGGCTCACTCGTGTCACAGCAGAAGTGTCAATGGGAAGCGTCGAGGAGAGCCACCCAGCAGGATAAAGTCAGTCCGTACACTTTAAAGGAGCTTATGGAGGCAGTAGAAATAGCTCCGAGTCCAGCCAAACAGTCGTGCATTTAGAACGCATTCAGCAACACCTGCGGCGAGGATTAAGAAAACGTGGGGTGCAGGAACTGATGCGTTCAACTTCGCCAAATCAGGGAGTCTTATTGACTTATGCCACCCTGAGGCATTTTCTGTGGTTGGCAGCCTCAATGAAGAGAAACAAAACACCTTGCGATCCGTAATAGTGCACAAAAGTCAGATGTTTTATTTGCTTAAAGGAAGACTTTCTGTCTGGAGAAGGGTTGGATGGAAGGCTTACAGCTAAGAAATACCCCAACTTTTGAAGATACAATCTATTGATTGATGAACTGTAGAGATTGTTTTTAACTGCAGAGAGGATCCAACTTGCTGTTTAGAACCAGCAGATGGAAACTTAGAGTGTTGTAGATCTTTATTTCCCAGTAACGAAGTGACTGAGACTGAAACATCTTATGATTGTTTTTAAATGTACTTCGCTCCAGGTTTTGTTTGACTCAGTTTGACTTTCTCCCTCCACACAGAATACATCACTGCAAGGTTTGGGAGCAAAGACCAGGAGAGCTATGCCGTATTCTCATTAGACAACGACCCAGGCGACTCTGTGATCGTGTCCATGTTCCTTCGCACCAGACAGTCCAGCGGCCTCCTCCTCATCCTGGCCAACAGCACCAGCCAGTACCTCCGCCTGTGGCTGGAAGACGGCAGGGTTAAAGTTCAGGTCAACAACTTTGAGATGCTCGTTGGTCGGAGGCCGGTCAGCGACGGACATTTCCACCTGGTGACGCTGAAGCTGGAAGGAACGGCAGCCACCTTGTTCCAGTCAGCCCAAAGCCAGGGTTTCATGCCCATCAGGAGCGTGGAAGTCCATCCCGGAGATCTGGTTTTCGTTGGGGGGCTTCCAGACTCGAGGGCCTCTGCTTCCTTTGGCGGCTACTTTAAGGGATGTGTGCAGGACCTGAGGATAAACAGCAAGCGCCTGCAGTTCTATCCGATAGCTGCTCCGGTGGAGTCGTACAACCTGCAGAAGCTCGTCGGCGTTGCAGAAGGATGCAGCAGTGACAACGCCTGTGCTGTGAGTTACATTCATTACATAAATGAGACGGACACACATTGCTGATCTTCATCTGTGCCGAGATTTGACTGATTCATACCGTTTCCTCTACTTTAGGTCAACCCCTGTCTCAATGGGGGCGTGTGCTACTCCATGTGGGATGATTTCATCTGCAACTGCCCCCCCAGCACTGCGGGGCAGCGCTGTGAGGAGGTGAAGTGGTGTGAGCTGTCTCCCTGCCCCGCCACTGCCGTGTGTCAGCCCCTCTCTCAAGGATTTGAGTGTGAGTGTCCTGAGATCACGACCTGGTGTTGCACTATTCCTGTCTCAGCAAGGACTTTAAAAATACATAACCAGGGAATAATAAAGACCTTCTAAAACTGAGCAAAGGAAAGGGATCTGTGCTATAAATAGTGTCAGCCACAGATTCTATCCCTGTTAACACGTGAAAACAACAATTAGTAAATGAATGTGTAAGTGTTTAATATAGCATATTCTGATGTCGGTTTGTTTCCGGTGAAGGCATCGCAGGGTCCATTCAGGGCAGTCAGCGGTGCAGACGCTAATTAATTAAAGTGTTGCTGGTAACAGGAGGGAAGAGAGTTGAGGCAGGGTTCCTGCATGGGATTCCTCTAAGACGTGGTAATCCGCGGTCAGATTAAGTCTACCGCCACATGCCTGGGGAACGTTGTGATGACAAGTCTTCCTGGAGATGTCACGTGAGGCAAGCTGTTGATCCAGAGTAGCTGCCGGTCCGACGGTGGCGGCAAACATTCGGCGTGTCTGCAGTCAGTGTTTAGTGGTTTATCAGACAAACAGTAACAGTTTAAAGGTCTCTTTAAAAGATTTTTCTAATTAGCTTTGCACTTCCGCTGATAGGTTACTAAATAAATATGCAGGTTTATTTGCCAAAATGAGAACAGTTTGGTTATTTCACATCACAGCATTCTGTCACATCAAACCACACAGTCTGGATTTAGGGCGGCTGTGGCTCAGGTGGTAGAGCGGGTTGTCCTCTAATCGCAAGGTTGGCGGTTCGATCCCCTGCCCGTCCACAGTCGAAGTGTCCTTGGGCAAGACACTGAACCCGAAGTTGCTCCCAATGGCAGACTAGCGCCTTGCATGGCAGCTCTGTCGCCATTGGTGTGTGAATGTGTGTGAATGGGTGAATGAGAAACATTGTAAAGCGCTTTGAGTGCCGCAAAGGTAGAAAAGCGCTATATAAGTGCAGACCATTTACCATAGTTGAGTTTTTGAGTATTACACCCTTAACGATGAGCTCAGTGATGCTAATCTAATACAGTTTTTGTCAGATTCCGTGAATATCTCCTCACGGCCTGCTAGCTTGTGTTTGCACAGTCCAGGAAACAGCTAATGCGGCCTGTATCGATCCTCACAACGCTGGTCCAGCTATTCTCGCTCACCTTTCTGCTTCTGCACAGCACAAAGGAAAAGAGGAGGGAAAATGGAGGGAAAGTGCTCAGTGGAAGCGAGGAAGGTGATAAATCTGGCACATGCTAACTATCTAAATGTACTAAGGGTCTCCTGAATGGCAGCTTCCACTTTTAATGATGGTTTTCCAAAGTGTCCTTAACTTTCCTGGTCATTAACTTAAACCTCCCTGAAAATATGTCTCTTGTTCGATCTCTCTGCAGTGACGCTGTGGCTTCACTGTTGAGCGGTTGTTACAGATTGCAAGAAAACAATCTTGTGCGGGGTTTGGTTCAAGTTTGGTAGAAGTATGCTCCAGCATTGGAGATATTTTGGCCTAAACTTTGGGTATTTTAACAGTTTTCACGATTGGGTGAGAGGGGCGTCTTGGCTGGTATGATTTGTGTGATAAGAACTAGTCGTAGCAGAACGAAACGTTGACAATAAATTGTCTTTGGGCAGGAGAACGTTCACGGAAAATATGAAAATATTCAATTGAAATCTTATAGCAGCAGAGCTTTATACTTTTGACCACATTTTTGGTGATTTTTGGTCATTTTTGTAAAAAACAAAACATTACAAAAAAAAAAGGGGGTGACCAACTCCCCCTGCTTTCGACCAAATTTCCTTAAACTTGGACTGAAGTAGTTTTGGGTGGACCCCTTCACGTTTCATCGAAATCGGTGAGATGTCTTGTGCCGCCCCTGCCTGGTCCTATCATGGATGAACTCTTAAGCCACGTTAACGTTACTTTGCAAGGCTGGAGATGTGTTGCAGTCATTCGAATTCAGTTCTTCCTGCTCAACAAGAAGATTTCAGATGTCTGCAACCTCATTTTTTTATAAAGAGAAATGATGTCATGTTTACTGTTCGTGCACAAAGGGTTTCTCATTACATACAATTCAGTTGCAGATGTGAATTGTGGATATCTGCACCTGGATTCGACTAGTATTAATTCAAGTTTCACAACTCTGCTGTTTAAGTTATAATTCTAGTTCCAAATATCTTTAATTTCCCTCGATTTAAGTCATCTACACTGTTCTTTTTAGATATGTTAAACTGTAGATATCGTGAACTGGAACTAAAACTAATCAAAATGATGTGGATATCTCAAACTGGAATTCTACCTTTTAAAAATATAATTACAGATATCTTTAATTTGAGTTTTGATTCTGCAAAAGGATGCTGCAGGAGTCACATTAGACGCTATAGCGAGTTAAAAGCGGCTTGTTTTTCAGACACTCGTTGAGCTGCAACAGTATATTTTACCAGCATGTCAGAGAAGCCTTTGAGTAAATTTCAAGCACGAGTCTCTACTGAATGAAGCTCTCGCTGTCTTTTCCGCCACCGCCACATACATCCAATGAGAAGCCTCACACCACCAGCAGCATCATGCACCACAAGTCAGACTAGCCATAACGACCTTTGAGATATTTTATTGGTTTGATGAGTCAAAACTAAATTTTAGATATCTCTAATTCATTTCAGGATGACACCACAGACCTGTAATCTGACTAGTTCCTGTGGTAAATGTTAAAATGTCTGTTCGATGAGTGTAACTGGGTTGAAACTGGGATCAAAAAAGGCAAATTAAAAAGAAATGAACATACAACCTCTTCCCTGTCTGTATAAGTGTCTCCCACGAGCGCAGACATTCGCATGTGTCTTAAACAGTCGAGCAGACTCTCACGCTGGCCTCTCACGGGGTTTGATCCTCACTCTCCCGAATTAAAGCTCGCCATTAAACCTGTTAAAACATCACGCCCTCCTCCCACGGTGGCTGCTGTTTATACTCTCACCCGATCAGCGTGATTTGCTAAAGTCTCCTGTCAGGGGATAGATTTTCTAAAAACAAAGCCAAGAGGAGGAGCAGAAGTCCAGCTTCCTGTCAGGCCACTTGAATTAGAATATGCCGGAAAGGTTGTTCTGGAGTTTTGGCCTAACGATGTCAAAAAGAAACTCCTATGTCGTTCAGCTTTAAGTTTCTCTTTAGGAGTTGAAATTGAGTTATCGTTGTCGTTCTGGGATGGTTATAAGAACTGAAAATAAAGGGTTTTCATTTCTCTATTTCAGGTTTGTCCAACGTGACGTTTCGGTTCGACAGCAGCGTTTTGCACTTCCGCAGCAACGGGAACGTCAAGCGCAGCCTCACCAGCGTGTCCTTCAGCTTCCGCACAAGACAACCTGCTGCCACTTTGCTTCACGCACAGAAGGACTCGGACCGCCTCACCATCTCCCTCCTCGACTCCCGTCTGGTCATGGAGCTCCACAGCGGGGTGAACGTGGACGCCCCCATGGCGTCCGTTCAAAGCCAGCGTCCGGTCAGTGACGGAGAGTGGCACGTCGTGGAGCTCAGCGTGGAGAACCAGACTCTGACCTCCAGGTGGGTGGTGGCTGTGGACGGAGGTAAGGAGGAGTCATCTAAATCAGCCGGGCCGGGGGATTTGGGGTTTCTTAGGGAGGGGGCAGACATCTTCCTGGGGGGGTTGAGCCTGGAATCTGGCGCCAACCTGTCCGGCTGTCTGGGCCCTGTGGAGATCGGAGGCCTTCTTCTTCCTTTCCACCTGGACACTGAGCTGAACCTCCCCAGACCTCAGGAGGAGCAGTTTGTGAGGATGAACGGCAACGCTGCCCCGCGATTCGGCTGCTGGGGAGCCACAGTCTGTTCACCCAACCCCTGCCAGAACGAGGGTTCGTGCGACGACCTGTTCGACCTGCACCGGTGCACGTGTTCCCCCGAGTGGACGGGACCGCTGTGTAAATACCCGGCGGACGCCTGCGTCTCCAGCCCCTGCATCTACGGCACCTGCACCAACCTACCCGAGGGCTTTAAGTGCGTCTGCGAGCCGGGGTACGGCGGTGAGCAGTGCGAGGCGGAAGTCGACATATGCGAGAACAGCAACTGCAGCCACGGCGCCACGTGCCTCAAAGGTTTCCAGAGCTACACGTGTCTCTGCCCTCAGAATCTGACCGGCCAGTACTGCGAGTGAGTTGATCTCTGACACACGACGCAGCTAGAGGGGGTTAGCGAGTTGTACTGATTCACAAACTTTTCTCTTGCAGTGAGAAAATCCCTGAAATCCCATGGTACATCGAGACCAATCCGTGAGTACATACAACACCAAAAATGTCCGATGTTTCACTAAATGGAGTAAATAGAATGAGTTGACGCCGTACTTTTCCGTCTGTCTAGACTTCCTCAGCTGCCTGTAACGACGTGCAGCGGTACGAGATGGAACTATAGCTGCTTCAATGGAGGAAACTGCTCTGAAGCAGACAACACCTGCTACTGTCTGCCGGGTTTCACAGGACAGTGGTAAGACGTATACCATGACACTTGATTCCCTCTGAGGAGGCAACTAACATCACCATATGGACTTAAAAACTGATAATAATAATACATTTTATTTGTATAGCACACTTTAAAATCAGGCGACATCTCTAGTTCTTCAAACGAAGACGAGTAATATAATGAAAATCTATATCTAGTGAGTTCTGGCTGCGAGACCTGAGCGACTGAAGCGAAGACCGAGGGGTGAGGAGGTCCCGAAGGTAGATTGGGCCACAGTAGTTAACGGCCTTGTACACATGCTGGAGAACCTTGAAAGTAATCCACTGTGGTATTGGCAACCAGTGAAGCGAGTGGAAGACTGGGGAGATGTGTTTGGGTTTTGGTGAGGACACGGGCAGCACTGCTTTGGACTTACTGTAACTTCTGGATGGTTTTAGACGGAAGGCCTGCCGGCAAAGAGTTACAGGAGTCTATGTGGGAGGTTATCATGGCATGGACCAGTCTTTCAGCGTCAGGTTGGAAGAGTGAAGGTCGAAGCCTGGAGATGTCTGTGAAGATTCTCAGACATCCAGCTCATGGTTATTCTCATAGATGAATCGTAGCAACTGGACTTGCTTGAGTTCCTTGAAGACGTTCCACCTCTCATCCAAAAGGCTTCATCAGCTCTGACTGACTAGTTGGGAGTTCCAGATGCTGATATCCTTAAGGAGTCTTTAACACCTGGGTTTCGGTTTCAGTTGGGGGTTTGTTGCTCCTCCCCCTGCCACAGTGGGGTTCGTTAGGGTCTTTTGTGACCAAGTGTGGATGTGGTTTCATCTTCCTGGGGAGAGATCTTAAGACTGAATTGTAAACAGGGGATAGGTCATCCCTCAGACCTCCACCTCTGTTGAGGGATGGTCTTTCCAGTTTGTCAAACTGGAAGCTTGGAGATGTTCCATAGATGATAGTAGGAGGTTTGGCAGACTGTCTTTATGTGGGCATCGCATGAGAGTGAAGAATCAAGCTTCACTCCCAGGCTGGTGACATGCAAGGACAGAGGGATGGAACGATTGTCAACAGCGATGGGAGGGATGCCGGCCTGGTTTGTTCGGTGGGGGCTGCCGACGAGGATGGCTTCTGTCTTACTGCCGTTGAGTTGCAGGTAGTTTCTGCTCATCCAGTGGTGGATATCAGCGAGACATTTGGTGTCACTACGGTGTATGTCGCTGTAGCTGTATCTGCTGCCCCCAAGTGGCCAAAAAATTTTTTTTCAAGTTTTGAGTTCCTCATTTGGTCATTCCACCTCAAATCATCTCATTTTTACAACTATTTCTGCTCAACCCTCTCTGATTTTCTTTTTTTATAGCATAAAATATGGATATTTAAAATTAGATGTGTGGAATATTAACTTGATGTATGAAAAACTTTCTGAGATACTTTTTTTTAATTTTTTTATCATCAACCCACTTTCAGCACATTTTTTTACACATTTAAATTCTGAAGGTATGTTGTCATGACAGTATCTCAGGAACTATTTAAGATTAAAGCCGGACATTTCCCCTGTTATTTCTCATCATTCCAATATTTCAGAATCTGCAATATCGGACAAGTAGACCAACAATCTCTGATTATTGGCGACTTGTAGTCAGAAGAAATTTTGAATGAAAAGTCCCGTTTTTGAGTCAACTAATGATATTTTCTGATTTTTAGCTGCGTGTCATTATACTACAATACAAAACATATAGAATACTTTTTAAAATGAAATATTTAATCACGAAAATGTTGGGTTTGCTGAACTTTCATACCTGATTGATCAGGAATGACAAAATGTACCAAAAAAATATTGCCAGATAGCCTCATTTATGCAAAACAGACTTCTCAAATATCCCTAAAAATTCTTTTTTTAAAAAATTCTGAATTGATGAATGGGCTTTTATATTTAATAGTTCCTAAATTATTGTTCTCCAAACAAAGTCTCAAATTTTAAGGTGTGAAGAAATGCTCTTAAAGCGGGTTGATGGACATTATTATTATTATTATTATTTATTTATTTATTTATTTATTTAAGAGTACTTGATAAATGAACAAGGTCTGACAGCTTCAAATATTTATAATTTATAATAAAAAAAAAAATTTCACACCAATGAGACCTGGATGAACAGAAGGCCCCAGATGATTTGAGATGGAATAACTAATTTGGGTTTTATTTTCATAAAGCATATTTACAGAACAGCAACACACTGGAATAATCCACCATCACAGTGCCATTGACTTAGACTCTGTTCTGCTTCTAATCAATTCATAATTATTTTCTCAATTCTTCCTCCAGGTGTGAGAAGGATGTGGACGAGTGCGTCTCCGATCCATGCATGAACGGAGGCTTCTGCGTCAACTACGTGAACAGCTTCGAGTGCGTGTGCGACATGAACTACTCGGGGATACACTGTCAGATAGACGTCAGCGACTTCTACTTGTACCTCTTCCTGGGCCTGTGGCAGAACCTCTTCCAGCTGGTGTCCTACCTGGTGATACGCCTCGACGACGAGCCGGAGATCGAGTGGGGCTTCCACGTCAACGACTAGAGCCCTTGTTATCCGTTCAGACCAAGCGGACTGGGCGTAGGGTGTCATACCGAACCACTTCAGAACCCGTTTTAGTACCCAGAAAACACTGGGATGCGTTAATAACAGCAGCACATCGCCTGGAGGTAAACCACGACGTCTTTAGCTTTATGAATGTCTTCCACGTAGAGGTGCTGAGTAAATATATCCACTTACACGCTCTCCTTTCCTTCAAGGCCTCTCGTGATTTAGCTTTTATCTACATTACTGTTACTGTGCAGTGCAGCTTCCATACCATCATCACTGCAAAAACTCTTTAGTTTGCAACCGAGAGGCTTTTTGTTGTTCCCAGCGTGAACTCCTTCATGTGTCATGACCCTATTTTTAACAAAATCCCACCTATGAAGGTTTGGTTTTTTTAATCTAAGCTCTACAAGGAACAGTTAATACTAAGGGTTGGATCTGGTATTTAATGTGATATGTTAAAGTCATGAGTATGAGCCAATTAACAACTCTCTTTTAATTAAACACATACAGCCGTCCTCAAATGTAGTCATCCCCTTCCATTAAAGAAACGGCAAAATTCACAAGTCACTCAAATAACTAGAAACTGGAAAAAGTAATAATAAATAAAAAATTTGCTAAATTATAATTTAGGGAAATAAGACGTTGCTTTTTAAGTGTGGTTGAAAAGAAAAATTTAAAAAAAAAACAAAAGAAAACGGACAAATGAGAGCCCTTTTCTGATGACCAGTGGGCTTGTTTGCTTATTTAATTTTTTTAAAATGTTTCTGTTGAACCACGATTCAAAAGCAAAGTCATGACTTTCATCAATTTTTTATTTATTATTACTTTTGTCAACTTATTTCAGTACCAGCTGTTTTTTTTCCTTCTTTAATGGGAGGCTATGAATACATTTGACTGTACCAAATTTAAACAAGATGTACTGAAGCCCCTTTTTTAAAAATTATTAATAATCGATCAACCCCTAATTAACACAAAGAGCCAGCTGACAAGACCAGAAGAGAAACGGTGGCAGTAAATATGCGTTATATGTGAAACCCTATTTTATTTCCTCTAGTGCGCTGACGAGGTCGGCGGTAGTGACGTGTCTGTTGTGAACAGATGTATTTGGTAATATTACACGTTGCACTATGTCTAATCACAGTATGTCCATCCGGCGCTCGCGTTATAGAGCTCCTCCACGTGCCTTAAAAGGTCCACTTTTTATCTGGAGCACTGCTTTGTCATCAGTGCACTTTTGTAACTGTTCAGGGATGTGCTCACGTACAGTTATGACGTACTGGATAAGAAGAAGATTCCTGTCTGTAGTTAGGACGTTGAATGTTTGTATATATATATATTCACACACACACTGATGTACCCTCGTGTAACCTGATGAAGGTCGCTGTGCATGTGGTACTGAAAAGGAAAACATCGAATAAAACTTGAAATGTTTGGAAAATGTCTCATTTAATCGAAATCTTTTACACATAAGAGTGAAAAATAATCAACAGTCGTAAACTATGACAAATTAGGTTTAATGTGCAAATAAGGCGTTCGGACGTTTTAACAGAAAACAAAACCTAAAGACACACACATGGGTCATGAAGGATTCAGTAAGGCTCTGCTGGTGCACTTCAGATGTGTCATGTCAGGGTCTATCATGCCTGGTTAGATATCTGTCATATAAATACAGCAGTAACACACAGGTTATGATTGAGTCGGCTGATAGGAGCCGATCAGCCACAACATTAAAAAACGTGGACAGTTTAGGCCAGGGGTGTCCAATCCTGGTCCTGGAGGGCCACAGTCCTGCATGTTTTAGTGGTTTCCCTCTTTGAACACACCTGATTCAAATGATCAGGATCGTTATCAGGCTTCTGCAGAGCTTGATGATGAGCTGATCATTTGAATCAGGTGTGTTAGAAGACAGAAACATCTAAAACATGCAGGACTGTGGCCCTCCAGGACCAGGATTGGAGACCCCTGGCTTAGGCGAATGATTATCTCATAACGACGGCACCTCAACAAGAGGCGGAACACATCAGGCAGCGTGTGAGCGGTCAGTTTTTGAGATCGATGTGCAGGAAAAATGAGCCCCTTTGACGATGGCTAACCTGCGACAAGTTAGATCGTCTCTAAAAACGGCAGGTCTTGGAGGCGATTCTACCAAAAATGAATCCGATTCCCGGGCAGTGTGTGGGGCGGGAAGGCCAGCCCGTGAGCTCCAACCCCACAGGAGAGCTACTGCGGCATAAAACCTTAATGCAAGAATTCATCACAGCTTGCAGACTGTTCAGAACTGGACCACGGAGCAGCAGGATGTGGGACGAAGGCGAGCCGGCAGAGGCAGTGTGATGCTCTGGGCAATGTTCTGCTGAGAAATCTGGCTTCCTGCTTTTATGTGGATGTTACTCTGACACCTCTCTGAACAGTGTTTCGGGAATGTTTCATGACAAAGAGTTCAAGGTCTCAACTCGAGGGTTTCGATGGATCAGAGCTGCTCTGGTGACACGGTAACATCCGGGTGGTTTTAATGTTGTGGCTGTCCACGCAAGACTGATGGTGTCCAGCTTGGGGTCAGATGTAGACGGTGCTGTAAGGCTGCTCCACACAGAGACCGCTAATCAGTAGCAGCACAAATCATTCATCACCAATAAATACATACGTCCAAAAAAAACAAACAAAACAAAAAAACGGCTCGTCAGTCCTGTTCGTGGAGCCTACAATCGCAGAGCTCTTTGTAGATCCTCTTTCGTATCTTTGGTATGTCGCTCTGTGAAAACTGCAGCGGTCTGCTCAGTGCAAGGCATCGAGAATACTGCAAAAGAGAGGAAACGTGTCGTGAGCAGAGAGCTGAGGCTAACCTGGTCACACGTGTGAAGCTCGACAATCACAGCATACCTCCAGGACAAAAACTCCGCAGTCGTTCTCGTTCGTCTGTTGCGGGATTTTCTGTGAAGACCAGCAGGGGGAGACAAGACGTCAGCAAGCGTGAAGCTCCGGCAGACGTTCACATTTCAAACGTCAACGTACCTCATCGAACGACGTGATCCAGCCGCTCTCGAAAGCCGCTTGCTGCTTCTCTTTCGCTTCGGTCATCAAGTACTTCAGGATGTTCTGTTGTGAAGAGACGCATCGACAGGTTGTACAGATCAGGACCTTCAACCAGCAACCGGGTTCATCGGGTAAAGTAAATACAGGTAAACATATCATTACCCTTGCAACCTTCTGGAGTGCGATCCCTTGAGAGTCGTAAAGGCAGATTTTCTTCTTGACGACGTCGGCGGTCACCAGACACCAGTGGACCTCCAGGTGGACGGGCACCAGAAGGAGGCTCTTAGAAAACAAATCCACCTGGACAGCAGAGCAGCTCTTAAGTTCTCTTAAATAGATCACATAAACATCCTGCACAGTGACACCATCGCCTCTGTTGTAGATCTAACCTGTTTCGTCCATCGCTTCACACCGTCGTAGCCTTTGGTCATGAGCTGCCGGTGGAAGAAGCTGTTGAGAAAATGAACCTAAAAGTGGAGACGAAGAGAGACTGAAGCTGCAGATATTTAGAGGAGCTTGTGTTTTAATCAGATTCCAACATACAGAAGCTCAACTAGGGCCATCGTAGAAAGAAAAAACAGAAAATTAAATAACTTTTTTAACCCCATTCAGGACTTGCACATTGCCATCCGTAGGTCTTTTGGACCCCAAGAAAGGAACATCACATCTGAACTTGTTCTATGGTTCTTATCCAGATTGTTTTCTCCTGACTAGACCCTTGCCTGTGTTGTATCTGCTCTCAGGTGCATTTGGATTAAATGAAACTGTAGAATTACCTTGTGATGGGACGCCTCCATGATCAGCTCTCCGTACATGTTCATGACCTTCAGCAGAAACAAACAACAACAAAAAATACATCAGTTAGATTCAACGTTCAGGTTTCATGTAAATCTGTTCCAGTCAAAAGTCTGCCTGAATTGTTTGACGTGTTAAATGACAACCTGGTCGTTGAGCCAGTTCTGATCTGCCAGAGTCAACAGATCATCCAGAGTCAGAGTGTGTTTCTTGTAGAGCACCTGGAACGAGGGAGCGGGCTTCTGAACTATGGCGGCTTGGTGTCTGGTAACTTCTGAGAAGATGATGTTCTTCCTGAACGGGGAGGAGGGAAACACAGATCAGGTCCAGAAATAAAACATCCATCCATCATCT